AAAAAAAGATAAAAACTCTCCTTTCATGCGGTTGGAGATTAATGTAGCATACCAGGGAATTTTCTGGAACTGTATCAGCAACCTCCAATTGTTCAGTTGAGGATGAGGAGCTACCACTCTGGCTGCCAGGAACAAGGACTTTCCCTGATGCTGCAACTGTAGAAGATCGGGATTCGGGCTCGTAAGAAGACTTTTCAGCAAAGATCTTCCCTACATACATATATCAGATTAGTGTTATATCTCCACTATGCTACTTAAATGTCAATTAATCAAGGTTGAAGAGAGCAAAGATTTGTGTGATTAGAAGTGATGCTGCAGAAGCAATAAAAAACATTTTTTTCTCCAAGCACAATTTTACCAAACTATTTCAACTACACGTTTAGTCTCGGAATCAAACAGGCCCATCTAGCTTAAACTAATGTTAAAAGGATCTCATTCTTCAGTGTGACAATATTCTCATGGTAAATCAAGAAACTTCTATAGTAGAGTCTACAAAAAGTAGAACAGCAATGACATCGCTAAGTAGCTTAGAAGCCCTATTTTCCAGACAAAACCTCAACTTTCACTATTCAATCAACAAATCAACTAAAAAACAAAATTAAAAAATATCTGATCACACAAAAAGGGGAAAAGAAGTATAACCACTGATCATTCTTACAACTTACTTTTTGGAGGAATAAAGATCCCTCCAGAAAAGCAACATACAGAAGGTCCTTTTAAACCCAAAACCGACACTTCAAAAGATTTAGTATTACCTTTAAAAATGTCAAATCAAAATTTTTCATGAATTCATTAATTTGTTTTCTTAGAGAAAATACTTAACAGACTTCAAGAACACCCAATTAGAGAAACAAAAGAAAGAATCAATATTAACTAAACTTTTTCACCAGCAAAATTGTCTAGAAAGGTACAACAGCCCCATTTCTTCAGACAAAAACCTCAGCTTTCACCACTCAATCAACAAATCACGTAAGGAAAAATAAAAAAGAAACTGATCATCCAATTGAAGAGAAAAGGAAAATCTAAGCATTGATTTTTACAACTTATATTTAGGAACAAAAAAAGATCTCGCCATATAGAAATAGAAGGTCTTTTTACACCCAAGCCAAAGTCAGTTATAACTGACCCAAACTTCAAAAAGTTACTACCTTCAGTAATGTCAACCATGAAAATTCATAAATATTTTTTACTTTTTGAGAGTATATACTTTAAAACTTTAGAGAATACCCAATTACAATAAACCAAAGAAAAAACACACACGCACACAGAGAAGAGAAGGAAAACCTAAGCATTGATTCTTACAGCTTATATGTAGGAGCAGAAAAGATCTCACAATAAAAAAATAGGAGGTCCTTTTAAACCCAAGCCAGAGTCAATTATAACTGACCCAAACTTCAAAAAGTTACTACCTTCGGTAATGTCAACCACGAAAAATTCACCAATTACAACAAACCAAAGAAACACAAACACAAACACACATACACACAGAGAGGAAACACAAATACACACATACACACAGACACAGAGGAAGGTAGTACGTGAAACATAGTGCTTTTTCGAGAAGACAGAAACGCTAGGATTCCGCCGATCAGCATTGGAAGTGAAAGCAGGGGATTTGTGAAGCGATGGAACAGTAGGAAAACGAACACCAGAGATTGTGTACACCATTGTTTTCCTTAGGGTTTTGCGAATCTACGAAGTACTATCTTTATTTCATGAGGTGCAATACTACAGATCTGATAATAACTAACTGTCAAAACTGTGCTGAGTTCAAGGCGCCAAGAGAAGCGTGATTACAGAGAGAGAAACAGCTACTGAGTTGAGTGGCGGAGGTTTTATATTTTAGTGAAACCAGATTTTATACGTCTTCTAAATGGGACTCTAATTTTTATATTTAACTCGTACTCGAATATATATTATATAAATTTTATACACTTTTATAGTTATCGGGTATAAAAATTTTGTCCGCGGACTAAAAATGGTCTTTGTCCTTAAAATTTATCAATATTATTTATGACCTTTTAAGCACTATAACTTTTTATGTGAGGTGAAAAAAACTCACAGAAAAATCTACTCTCACTCATTATTTATATCAGATTACAATTTATTGAAAAAATCACCTATTATGTGCTCATTAGTTTTGTGAAAACATCGAATTAAGTATTGCCACAACAGCAGTAATATTTTCTTTTAGATAATGAGTTGCATAGACCCATTTGGGAAAACGTCCAAATATAAGTGCACAAGTGTATTGAGATAAGTTGCATGGGGATTGAGTGAAGGGCTCCACACAAGACACTCTCCATCGTCAATTCAACGCCGACCTGAATTCAATTTATTTTGATTATTACACTTTTTTAATTCTTAACTAAAGTTCTTGAATTCGTAATCTGAATATAAAATTTCTTTTATTACGGAGCATATTATTTCATAATATATGATTTTTCCAGTACGAATTTGAATTTTATCGGGCTGGCCCGCTACAAAGACAGACGGGCAAGGTAATTTGGTGCATACAAAATTTCGGATTTACGTAGGGGCCGAGGAAGGGAAGCATCGGAAGGATGCTATGCGTGTAACTTAACCTAATGCAAGTATTAGTGGTTGGTTTCAGAGCTGGAACTTGTGACTTATAAGTCGCGTAGACATAATTTTACCTTTACTCCAATACTCTCCTTTTCAATACAAATATAGACACCGGATAAAAGATCAAAAAAGATTTTTTTTAATTATTTTAATTTTCAATGTTTTGATATTTTCCAAAAAAGAGGTGTGTACTCGATCTTGAGCCAAAGGGCCCACGTGCGGGGCTATAAAAAAAAAGGAGTACTATATGAATCTTCGAAAAGATGAGGAACGAAAGGCTACTAATGTATTTCATGTACAAGTGATTAGCTGTCTTTTTCAATCTTGTGGGGTTTCACTTGTGATCTTTTTAGTGGCATTATTCCATGTGTCTTCTAAAAGTTAGGAGTGTACATTTTGTTAAAAGAGTATTTTTATGGGATATTCTTTTTGCTTATTTTTATGCTTTATACATCATATGCTAATTGAAAAAAATACCATTAATATTGATTTTAAGTGCCACTTTAATGAGTTGATGAGATAATCACATGGATTATAGCGGGGATCTTTTAGAACAATAACGACGATCCAGTAAAATTTCATGGAGTCTGGGAAAAATAGTATAAGTGCAGACTATTTAATCATTTTTTATAGAATAAATCAACTAAACAATAGCTTCTTTCACAATTAAGCAATGATCTTTATCATTTGTATTATTATTGCTAGTCTATTATTATCTTATTCTTTAATTTTATTATTATTGTTGTTTCTTTTACTTTAGATATCTTTATTATTTTTGTGGTCAATACTTTTCTTTTCTTTACTATTTTAATCATAACTTTTTACTCTTGCATTTTTAAATATGTTTCGAAAATGTTTTTCTTGGGTCGAAGGTTTATCAGAAACAATCTCTTTGCCTCATACAAGGTAGGGTACAGTTGTGTATACGCTATCATTTCTATAGCCCCACTTGTGAGATTACATTGGGTATGTTGTCATTGTTGTTGTTCCAATTAAGCAAGGATCCGGAACTTCAAGAGAATAGGTGCGCTATTACGTAGTGGTCGATCTAAAATTTATATTTGACAAGTTCAACCTTTAGATTCATACCATGAATTCATTATATTTTTGAAATTATCAGTTTAAAATTAAGTTATTTTTGTAATTTTATTTGTTTCTCGGGTATATATTTTTACAATGTCGAAAATATTTTTACTGTCTACTTGGCGCAGTTTAATAAAAATGAGCGTGTTTTTTGGCCTTTATCGAATTTTGTGTACCCAAAAGTGTAAGATACAGATCCACAATTTTGTAAGATAAAAAGATGTCTCATACAACTAATGTCATTTGTGTAAGGCACTAAATAGAAAATTTCCCCATTGGCCTATATGATTTAAAAACTAGGCCATTTCTCCCTATTTATCTTCTTCAACACAATCGCCTCTTATTTGTCATATGAGAAGCTCAATTTTGTTACCGTGGATGGAGCTAAATCGTGGTTAAAGAACTAGTTTTAAAAGATTTGGGTAGTGAAAATTATATTTGAAAGGTAATTCACCATTATTGAGCAAGCTTGAAGAAATGGATTTAAATTTCAAATATGATATTAGTGAAACTTTTGGAATTAGCATTATTTTGACTTAATAAAAATAATCTAAGGAGTTCATGTACAATTTTTGAAAGTTATCCGATGGAGATTTAATTATATTGATTTGGAACAAGAATTGTAACTAAAATCGTAGAAAAAGTTCGTTTCCATAGCTAGTGACGTGTTATACATTTTTATATATTATTATACACTTTTATATAAGATACATACATTCGAGCAGATCCATGGGTTACTGGACGTGCTAGCAAGTGTTGATTTCATCTGTCGCGAATCTATTGGAGTTATCAAGGTAGTTGCATGGTGATCGCATCCTTGCTCTTCTCCCTCCCATCCTCATATAGATGTTTTTTTTTTGTAGTTGTTTTCCAGACTGTATTAGTCTTAGTATTATCGGACAATTTTTAGTAGATGCTCATGATTAGTGACACCCCGATGTCGGGTTTTTCTTTCTGCACTTTTGTTATTCATATGTTCTTTATGAAGTTTTATTAGTAATTAGCATGAATTTATCTTTGAAAATGGAATATCGCGTTGTTTTTGGTAAAAAATCGGCTTGCCTAGTGTCACGATATGCGCCATCATGACAAGGATAGTTTTGGGTCGTGACAAGTTGGTATCAGAGCCTAGGTTACATAGGTCTCACGTTTCATGAGCGGGTTTAGTAGAGTCTTATGGATCGGTACGGAGACGTCTGTACTTATCTTCGAGAGGCTGTAGAAACCTTTAGGAAAGCGTCACATTCTTGAATTCTTATCGTGCGAATTTGTTAATTCTGGTAACTAAACTTCTGTTATTCTATTTTCTCACAGATGGTGAGGACACGTGCTACCGGTCAGGACGCACGACTTCCAGTACCACCCGTTGGGGCCGCGAAAAGCCGAGGTCGCGGTCGAGGCTGTGGTAGGGGCAGGGGTATAGCCCGCACAACAGCTAGGGAAGCACCTACAGATCCACCAGCCGCCCCAATTCATGATCAAGTCCCAGTTGTAGATATTTCAGTGGGACCAGTCCAGGCACCGGTTGTGCCTATTGTTATTCCAGGTCTTCAGGAGACCTTAGCTCAGATTCTGACTGTGTGCACTAGTCTTGCTCATGTGGTCGATGTTTTTACTACAATAGCTACTTCCCAGGCCGGGGGAGGCACTCAGACTCCTACCGCTCGTACACCCGAGCAGGTTGTTCAGGAACTACAGACACCAGAGGAACCACCCGCTCAGCTGGTTGCACCTACTCAGGACTATGTGGTACCAGTCATACCTGAGGACGAGCAGCATAGATTGGAGAGGTTTGGTAGACTCCAGCCTCCGACTTTTAGTGGTGCTGAGGGCGATGATACCCAAGGTTTCTTGGACAAGTGTTAGAGGATTCTTCGTACAACGGGTATTCTGGAGACCAGTGGAGTCTCGTTCACTACCTTTCAATTCTCGGGAGATGCCTTTACTTGGTGGGAGGCTTATAAGAGGCGTTGGCCTATTGGTGCAACGCCCCTTACCTGGAAGCAGTTCTCCGATCTCTTTTTGGAAAAAGTATGTGCCGCAGTCCCGTAGAGAGGAGCTACGCAGGCAGTTCGAGCAGTTGCATCAGGATGATATGACTGTGATGCAGTATGAGATGAGGTTCTTTGAGTTAGCTCGTCATGCTATCTAGTTGGTTCCCACAAACAGGGACAGGATCAGGAGGTTCGTTGATGGCCTCTCATATCAGTTATGAATTCTTATGATTGGAGAGAGGATGTCTGGTGCTTCTTTTGAGGAGGTTGTTGACATTGCACGAGACATAGAGTCGATTCACTGTCAAGAGCGAGTAGAGAGGGAGGCCAAGAGGCCTCGTAGATTCGGCAGTTTTAGGGGTGCTCCTCATGGGGGTCAGTTTTAGCACGGTAGAGGCCGTCCATTCAGACATGCTTAGTCAACTCGCCCAGTTCACCGTAGTGCATCATCGGGCCATGGTTCTCACAGTTCTCATCAGGGCCATTCATCACTTAATGCCCTCCCAACTCAGAGTTCGTCTTGTGCTCCATCAGTTTAGGACTCCTCTATGGCAGGTTCTTCTACTAGTCATCCCGATGCTAGGAGTTCCCTTCAGTCCCCGTCACTAGCCCAGGGGGTTGTTATGAGTGTGGGGAGTTAGGGCATATATGGAGGCAGTGTTCTCATCGTCATGGGGGTCCACCTCACTAGAGGAGTCAGCCATCGACTTTACCACCAGTTACTTCGCCACCCACCCAGTCAGCTAGGGGTGGAGGTTAGTCGCCTTAGGTCATCACTTATTTTAAAAATAAATTCTACGTTCTGAGGCCTTAAAAACCTCTTTCTGTCTTACCTCGATTTACGTGCGCAGTCTGGGCGCGTAGCCGGAAAGCCAATGTGAAAATCTGTGAAAAATGGTGAATTTTGACTTTAAAATGAATTAAGTTGACTTCGGTCAATATTTTGGGTAAACGGATCCGGACCCGTGATTTGACGGTTCCGGAGGGTCCGTAGAAAAATATAAGACTTGGGCGTATTCCCGTAATCGAATTCCGAGGTCCCAAGCCCGAGAAATGAATTTTTGAAGAAAATTATTTTGTGGAATACTTATGAGTTTTTGAAAATGAAATATGTTTAAAACTTGATGGTATCAGGCCCGTATTTTGGGTTCGGAGCCTGGTACAGGTCTTATATGATTAAGATAAGTC